CAAGAATCGACATATAAAAACACGCAAATTGACAATCATATACATTCAGAAAAATTAGTCATACTACACATTTTCTTTGCACTACTGCACGAATAATCGGTCATGTCGGATGAACTTTGTAACAATATGGGTCCAGTTATGGTTTGTTTGCGTCAAACATTAACTTTTCATATGTGATGTATTTCTGACTTTATATAGGATGCCACGCCTGAAATCCAAGAACTAGAGTAAGTCATGTTCCTAAGAGATCGATGTTGTTCTCAGAATCATTTTATTTGGTTCGAAACAATGAGCGGCCGGAAATAAAACATGCAGCTATCCATGCTCTTCATAAAAAAACATCGAGAGAACCAAATTCACCATTTTACTGAAGAAGATCGTGAAAAACATATTTCCAACTGGGAGTAAGTCTCTTGCTTGTAATTTTTAAAATTGGGAAATATGTCATTGTATTTTTTAAATTAATAGAGTAACCAAATACGCTGAAGAACAGGTTGCTTATGGTATCAATTATTTTATGAAGGTATCTATCGGTGATGGTTTGTTTATTCACATTCGAGTTCATCGACAACAGCATCAGGAAATTTATGATTTTTATTCATTGCATGAAACTTTTAAAGATGACGTTGCTACATGTATTTTCACTGAAGGTATGTGTTGAATACAACTATTGATGCGTAATAAATAGAAGATATTGTCATTTTTCTTTTTTTTAGATGATCCGCTGACATATTTCAATTACTAATTACAGTCTATCAATGTCAAATTATGAAGATAAACTTTCTACACTTGTATTTTTCGTAGCATTGACCTACTTTTTCAAAGTAAACTAACATCCTTCTGATTAAAGATCTGAAATTACGATATCATCTTCGCAGTTTTAATCACAGAAAACAAAGTATTGAATAGATTCGATGTTCGATTTCTATTGAAGCTTAAACTATGTTCATATGCTTGATTTCATGAAAGAAAGTTGCAGGCTCTTTTATGGAATATGAGTATGCTTTCATTGAGATAAACATTATTTGCTTCATTTTTCAATTTATACAGTCATTTTCTGTTGAAAGTACTTCAAGATTGCATTCGTAATGTCTGACGTAGTTATTGAAACGAAAGCAGTCAGTATAAAAATAGCGAAGTAAAAGAGCCGCATCATAATTTCAAGAAGAAGCAGCAAAAACTGGACAAGTGATAAGATTATTAAATGTCAAAGAAATTGTTCTTCCTCTGTGCTATGGAATCGAAGAATTTTGAATTATGTGTATAGGTGAGTGTGTTATAGTAAGGTTGACCGTCTAGATAGCGGAAAAGTTGAACCTATTTCAGTCCTCCAGACAGAGAAAAATATGTCGAAGAGATCTGCATGCAGAGCGAAAGTACTTTATTTCTTGCAACTGGTTAGAAAGAATTCCTAACGTTTAACGAGATCTAATCACATAATTTTGCCGCGGTTTTTTTATACTTTCTGTTTTGGTTTCAGACGATGAGGGTATTCTTCATCCACTTCCTATCAGCAGTTCTCAAAGAAATTCAAACTTCGATGACTTGATGGTTTATCATCTTGAATTCTATTAAAATAAAATCGATGAAAATTCGCTCATTTTGGGAATTTATGTATATTTTTAAGAAGCCTTTTTTTTTTATAATACATGTTTCTTGTTCCTACCATAAAATCCTACTTTTAACTTTTAGTTTGAATAAAGACACGAATTTCCTACTTTTGAAACAGAATTGTATTCTACTGCAATTGAATTACGCTTTCATCGAAAGATAAATATTATCGACAGTAGCATTTATTCAACGAAAAAAAAACTTTCAATTGAATGCGAATTGTTATTCAATCAATAAGTTGACTTCGAACAATCAAACTTTACAGTATTGACTAATTTGCCATGCTGTTAAAAAGATCAAACACTAGAAAACAAAAGATCAAAAATGAGACAAGTAGACTCTCCATTAGAGAATATTTCGTATTAGTATAAATACCGTTATCAGTATGAATATGACTATTCTATGAATTCAAGTACTTACTACATAAGAATAATTTTTATTCGATTCTTGAGATCTATTGTTTAGATTCAGTGCCTAGTTGCACTTTTTTCCCAAGCGTCGAGTTTCAAGGAAACTTGAAGACACCGATTAACAAAGAAGCGTCAACCTACACCAATCACTTGGACTAGCTCACAATTCTTTTGATATAACTATAAAAAAAATATTGTTGAGTTGGATGCTGATTTGAAAACTTGCACCAGCATGTAATGAAAGTTAGCAATCGATTCAAGTTTTTTTTTCTAAAACGATTCGTCCCATTCACCGAACCAAGTGAGAAATGCTGTGGATCAGATGCTACTTTCGAAGATCTATCGAATACTGTATACAGATTTCGTGAAACTCACATATGGACATTTCCATAGCATCTCAATCACGTTTACATCGACCATTTTCGAAACGTGTTAAACTTTCAAGATTTATAGATCATAGTGAGGTATTAAAATTCTCAAGACCAGTTTTCTTATATTTCATTAATAAATAGGTACATTATGGGAATGATATTTTCTATGGATTTTAGATAGAATCAAAAAAAATTTAAGATTTTTGGAAAATGATCTCAAACAGAAATCTTTCTGATCAAACAAATGAACCATTGAATATTATATATATGCTGATAGCTCCAGATCTCGGCTACAATCTGACTATAAAATATTGTGGTTTTCTAAATATTTTGATAGTATTATTCTTTTGTGTATGTAATGCATTGACTAAATTCTAGTATATATTTCATGCTTAAAAAACGTTCGAAAAAATGGAATTTGGAAGTATATTCATATAAAGTGTCTGGTAGGGAATTGATTGCTCTTCAACATGCATCACACCTGAACTCTCCGGTTTTTGATCGTACAAAATGGAAAACAAAGAAAGATGAAAAATTTTCATTGTTTTGAATTCAGTAGTAAACATAAAACAATGTACATTGTGAACGACAAGACTTCGACCTCGGTGTAACATACCAGAGTCTTTGTCGAAATTTGAATGGTAAGAGTACTTTTGTCAATATTCTCAAGTGCTATTTTTGATTTTTACGCAAATGAAATTTCTTATTCAATATGTTAAAAATGATGAGTTATACTTAACATCGATATTTGTGAGTTCATCGAGATGCACAATAATCCATTGATACTTACAAAGGAAGGTCCTTCACATGTGTACGCAAGATTTTAGCTGGAATTGTGTGAGTTTGCTACACAAAATACTCTGATGTTAAGTATGAAATAATTATTGACTGTGGCTGATCAAATAAAAAGTTGTAGTCAGAACATTTTTTTCATTATTTCATGCATACATACACGGTGTGGGTCGTGCCTTCAATCAGTGCACAGACTCACAGTCACATCCTCACCCTTTATTTAAACCAATTGAAGTTTACTTAAATTAACGGAAATCGAATTTAAATTAGGTTTAAATAAATTTAAATTTATGCAAATACAGTTTAAGTTTAAAACAAACTTAAATTTTAAAGAACTAATTTCTGGGCTTAATAAAATTTTTTAAAGGTAAAATCGGTCATCTCTAGTGTTTCTCTAGTGTTCGTCTGACGGGGATGAAATATAAAAAAGAAATGGAATAATATAATATAATTTATAATTTATTAAATTATAAATTAAATGCAAATAATTTATATTTATTTTAAATTAACAGGAAAATAACACCCCTATACATGATGCTATATACTTTCTTTCTTAAAATTTAACATTTAATGATATTATTTATCTATATACGTGTATGTACATATGTCTGATGATGTTTTCTGTATTTTCTTTTGGTTTCTACAGTTATTTTCGTGTTTATGTTATTGTTATTTTTCATCTTTTGTTTTAATGTCAATTCTATCAACAATTTAAAGGCTGGATAACGGTCGTTCGAAAGACCAAAAATTTCCCATATCTAAATATGTATTGATTACCCATAAAAACCATATTTATCTTAATTTTGTGAGCAACTGAAAAGTACTGAATTCTGTTTCATCATCAAAAACTGAGTATACAAAGATTATTTGATTAGATTTAAATGTTTGACTCTTGACTTTTTTTTCGACAATCGAAATATTTAAATATGATTTTTATTCATTTTTTTAAAAGAAATTACGATTCTGCATCAAAAGAAGAACATTAGCAGTTCATTTTTGTACGATAGTCTTTAAAGCAATCAACAAATCATAGAAATACATTGCTCTCGGGACATACACGTGTACATATATCTCGTATCACGTCGACAATTATGAGATGTGCAAACGACGTGCTATCTTTCAGGCTGTTTTGATTGCTCATTCAAACGTCTTCTTCTTGAAGTAGTCACTGTGAAAACAATAAAAAGGTGTTCCAAATAATTCATGTGTATGCTAGAGACACTTTTCTTAAATGATTGCATGCAGATATTTTCGTAGGTCGCCGAAAATCAATGGATTAAAATGATATTGTTAAAAAATAGATTCGACAAAATTTTCTAGGACCTGCAATCTACCGTGTCTGGTGTTTTAAAAATCTTGCTACCTTATATACAAAGACAAAATGAAGAAAAAAAATGCTCTCCGTGAGATTTGAACCACACAGATTCAGCTATATGGGCAAATGTATTAAGCTAATTAGGCTTGCAGAGATATTGTAATCTCCGTCTAGCGTCAGAGTATACCATCACCAACGCTATCATTCTGATTAAACAGTACTTGTAAGATTTCTTTTTCGGATTTTTTTGTAAACAAAAATGAAAACTATACTAGGCTTTCGTCTGTCTCTTATTTGATTGAAATATTGCCAAAAATAAATAAATTTATACGTTTATCATAAAAACAACATATTGATATGACTAATTTATACAAAAGTCGATCATATTCTTTGGTTTTTTTTTATGTCTTCTATATTTATTCTTATTCGGTTCAATGAAGCGTGACACCGATACAATTTTGTATCATTTATCGAATCATAAAAAAGAATCAGAACTAAATAATGGCAACAAGTAACGATGAAATAAGTGAAGGTTTGTATAATATTGATTCATGGAGTTTATTTGATAGTCATTTGGGATCTTATGTTATGTCTCCATTACAATTACGTTATGTTAGTTCAAAAACTTCAATTATTGGACGAGCATTACGTCAAGGTATTATTGATTTACATGATAATATAACAAAAAAACTAAATGAACAAATAGAAAATAACACAAGTGTTATTGGTACTGAACATCGTTTATGTCATTCACGTAATTATACATTAAAAATTCAAGAAGATAATATTGAATCTTCTGTATTAAATGATGATGATGATGATAATAAAATTGATTTTGAAATAAATTCATTAGCACCAACTATTTTTTATCAATTACGTAAAGATATTGGTATATCAAATGAAAATTTTCGTCAATCATTTTGTGAACATAATTTAAAAGATTTTACAAATCCTGGTAAAAGTGGTTCATTAATGTATAAAACATTTGATGATTTATATATTCTTAAAACTTTACGTGATTATGAAGCACGTTTATTAATACAAATTTTATCTGGTTATCATTTACAATTAACACAACGTTTAACATTATTTAATCGTTATGTTGGATTATATTGTATACGTTCACAAGGATCATTATCAAATATTGAACTTTATGTTGTTATTATGATTAATGTATTTACACCATCATTAAAAATTAATGAAATATTTGATTTAAAAGGTTCAAAAATTAAAAGAAAATTTATTGGAAGTTTATCTTCGGAAAAATTTTATAAATTAAAAGATATGGATTTTAGAGATTTATATCCAAATGGTATACGTATACCAACAAATATATATGAAAAATTAAAAATTATTATAGCTAATGATGCTAAAGTTTTAAAAAAACTTAATATAACAGATTTTTCATTAATTCTTGGTATAAGACATTTAGATATGTCTGAAGAAGAAATGATGCAACGTCAACCAATGGGAGGTATTGCAGCTCTTCTTCATTTAAATGATAGTCTTGGATTTATGTCAATGGCAAAATTTTTTCCAAATATTCGATCATTAAATTCAAAAAAAGATTTAACATCTTTATCATATTCATATTTAAAACCATTAGAAATTCTTCAAGAAAACATTGATATGAATTTATATTATTATAATGATTCTATTGCTCGTGCAACTTTACCTATTCCTGGTATTATAAATAAAAGTAATAAACGTGTTTATATATATTTAGCTATTGTTGATATGCTTCAAACATTTGATAGTGTTAAATTTATTGATCAAACACTTCGAAAAATTACAGATCCTGGTAGATATCTTGAATATTCTGTTATTGATCCAGATGATTATGAAAAACGTATTAATGAATTTTTATTAAAACATGTTTTTATTGATGCTAAAGATGATTTTCCATGGGATATAACTAATGTTAGTAAACCTGTTGCCCATCTTAATAATATACGTGTGAAAAAGAAGAAATCTGATGAAGAAAAAACTTCTATTCGTACACGATCTCATTCACTTCAACGTGAAATTTCAAATACTATTGTAGAATTTCGTTTGTGAACCTTTTTTCTTTATAATACATACACAATATTTATTTGTGCAAAACAATTTTTTTCAAATTCATAGTTTTGTCTCACACGTATAATGAGAAGTACACAACATACAATATTAAATACACTTATAAACGAATTATTTCAACTAACACTCAACGTTTGAGTTCGTATTGGATTCACGCCTAAAATGATTTCTATCGATCTTGAGGGTGTGGGTGTCGGTCTCCCTTCTTCTTCCATGCCCACACCCTTCTCACTGAGATATGCTTGCCGGTTCAATATGAGGCCAAGCGATGGGTGTCAGTTGTGGTAGTTTCCTCGTTAGTACAGCATATAAGTTAAATATGAATAATGAGAGCTTTAAAATAATGTAATAAACTGATAGAAAATACAATATTGAAAAATATCCAACATTTTCGACCTTTTACTCCTTTGACATTTTGAGTCTTTGATAAAGAGTCAGCGTGACTTGAATTTAAAAAAATCTCATTAATGAATTAAGCAGTAAAAAGTATCTTAGTTTCAAATACTGAAGTATTAATCGAGTATTCGAACATATTTAACTAATGAAAAGTACTTATGTAAAAGTATTCTAAACCCATTAGTTCCACTAGAATATCTATTGCTGTGTATTTTTTTATTGGGACAGATTGAGAAATAATTTTAATTTCCAACTCAAAATGATAAACATATTTAAACTTTTTTACAATACTTGTTACAAATAACTGTATGAGATATCTTTATAATATTTAGAAAGCAAAAAAAAAACAGTGAATTAAGAAATTGTTGATAATGTCAAATAAAAAATGACCTCTATATCATAATTAGTTTGATCAAGATTTTTTTTTATTGAATCGAATTAATGAAGAGCAATATCAACAGAGTATTATAATGAACAAGAAAATTAGATGAAATATAAAGTTGGCAAAAATAATTTTCTACGAAGATCAAACTAACAAAAATTAATAATATATACAATGATTACAAGAGCTTTAAAATTTCAACATTCTATTATATTCGTGAATCATCAATAGTGAATTATTTAAAGTAAAGTAATGCCCATTGCAAGAGAAAGGCAAGCGAGCATTTTTTGAATAGCTTTTCATAGAAACAAGATACAGCGCTACGATTTTCATCATTGGAAAAAGGAGATGAAATCAGATATTATAGATTCTACGAAAATGTTTTCTGAAAGTTTTTTAATCAAATTTATATAAAAAAAAAAACTGTCGGAAAAATGATTCTTAATCACCTCACACGATAAGTTAGTTTTCAACAATTATTATTTAAATTCACGTCAAGAGTAATATTTTGTTTCATAATTTTCTCTCTCTGAGTAAAGTGATTTATAATAATTCGAAATCAATTCTGTTTCTTTCATTTTTTTCTATCGCTATGACATTAATACTTGTTATAAATCTCTAAGAGAAAATGACAACAAAAACAAAATTTAATCTTCCTAATGAATTCAACTAATGTCTTTCACTTATTCGACAAATATTCAAATTATGAATAAAAAGAGAAAATATTCTAGTTTGAATTGAATGATTTACTTGTGCTAATTGATAAACATGATATAGATAAACTCTTTCTCTATCCAGAAAAACATATTTTATAGTAGATGTTTTTATTTCCTACTAATCTTATGATCTTCTTAGGCGGTTTATCATATTTTTAGATCTTATAATTTGACTAAAAACTGATTTTACTAATCTATTACAAAGTAAATTTTTCTTCTTTATCGGAAATTTGTTTTCAATTGTATTTATTTTTAAAAATTTGTGAATAAATCAATTATTAATCTCAACATTAAGTGACAATACATACTATTTTCAACGAAAAAAAGAGCAACACAAAAAGAAAAAAAAATGAAATTCTCTCTTCTTTCTTTTCAATCTATTACTAAAATCAATATTATTAAAACTGTGAATGTATTTGTAATGTATTATATTGATTAAATAGAACAAACAATATTTCTTCGCGATTTTTTCCTTTAAATAAACTTGGCTACTGTTGCTTTAAACAAACAACATCGTAAAGCATTTGTGTTACTCAGTTATTGATTCCATACATGCAAGTCAGTCATTTTGTTGACGTAGCAATCGATTTATTTTAGACGTTATTATAATACAAAAATAAAATACATACACAAAATAACTGATACTTTGCTATATTCCATACGAATATACAATACAATGCAGGTTGCAACACTTAGTTATCAATCTAATCCAAAAGAAAATTTTCATAATGATCCAAGATTAACATTTCAACATCGACATATACTTACCACCATAACAAGTCCACAGAAAAAACAAAAACAACGTCGACCTCCTTTATCTGATGTTAGTATAAATTCTAATAATCATTTACCATCGGTAAAAATTTATCAAAAACGACCTGGTTCAATATATGTTAAAGGTAATCGATTAACATCATCAAAATTAAATGATATATCGACAGTATCAAAATTAAACGATACTTCAACAACATCATTTCATCAACCATCTCGTGCACGTAGTCAAGTATCGGATATAAATGATATTTCACGAATAAGAAGTAGATCTGTATGTAGATTTTTTATATCCATATAAAACTCATTGTATTATACTTTTAATCTTAAATATAAAATAAAATTAGGTCACTCCACCAGGAACTAGAAGATCATCATCAAAATTTGTTCGTGTTAAATTTGGATATCCTGTTACAATTCGTTCACCAGATTTTTATGCACCAAGTTTAAGCAATGCTGAATTACGTTTTCGTGAAGAATCATTTATTAGTGATTCAATTCGTTATGCACATCAAAGTTCTCAATCATCATTTATTTCACCTTATGAAGCATTTGATGATCCTAGTTTAACACATTTTTTTCAATCACCAGTTGTATTAGATGTTATACGTAAGACATTGAATATTGATTTACGTGAAAGATCATCTGCCGTAAAGAAACAACCAAAAACAGTAGTAGAAATTTATTTGAAAGGAAAAAAGCGAAAAAAAATCTGATTTTTTATTTTTGAATTTTTGTAGAATCATCGAGATAATGATTATCATCGAATTGTTGCTAAACCTTCATCTGGATATTCAAAATTAAATGGTTATGATTGTATTCCACCATCTGCTCCTGCTCGTCATCGTCGTTTCATATCACATGACAAATATCGATTATCAGCGAATTCATCATTAACAAGTGTTCCAACATATAGTAGTATTCATTTTCAACAAAAAAGAAGTTCTCGTCTAAATAATAAATCAAAACTCTCAGCACCAATAGCAGCATCATCTCCTTTAAGACATACAACAGAAGCAGCAAGTGATATTGCACCTGCTTCTAGTGTTTCTCAGGAGTGATATTATAATTATTGTTGAACTTGAAATGAACATACCATTATGGGAATTTTTCTTTTTTTTAAGATTCATATGTATTATGTATTTATAAAAAAAAAAAAAAAATAAATCAACATACTCAGGTCAATGATTCCGCTCGGAAAACTATCCATATTTTTTGATCTGAGTATGAAACTTTGTTTTTTTTTTCTAATGAAAAAAGCACGATTTATTTCGTTTCTTTTTATCTTTTTTAATTTATTTCTGAAAAAAAAAAATAAACATAAGCTTGAATGATATTTATTGAATGGGTAAGTTTTAATGGTGAATTGTTAACATGTGGAAAGAAATGAAGATACAAATGAATGTATAACTGAATTGGGAAGATATTTTTCCCAGTTCGGTCGTATTTAAATAAATAAACTTTTTGCATATCATGAATCAAAAATATCAATTCGATTTAATCTTCATAGTGAATAATTTGCAGAACTTCTTCCTATCGTATACTCAAAAGAATGTTTCATACATATAATTAAAGTTCAAGCTCGCTCATGTAAGCATCATCAGAGACCAGTCATAGGTGTTCACTTTACGGAGATTATTATTACTAACAGATGTTCAATTTCATCTATAATTATTCAATTGCGATCGCTTGTTGGCTGCTTAACTCTTAAAAGCCAAATGTCCCCCTCCCGAGGTACATTGCGAAAATTTCAATAAAACATGCAATAATACTCTGTATACAAAACTCTTTTTGTTTTCTTCTACTCAGATGACCTTATTGGTAATAAAAAGAGAAAAAAATCAATTCTGAGTAACTGCCAGATGAAGCAATGAGTTTTTTACGGCTTGTAATTTTTTAAATGTCAATTTTTCGTTTTGAAACGTCTTTTTCTTGATGAATACAAGAAGACAATCTGTTTTTTCTCGGTTTTTATCGATCTATTCATGCGCTATGACATAATGAAGGAAATGTTTCTTGGAAGGGACATTCGGTCATAACGGTCCGAAATCCTTGATCACCCTATGAAAACGCAGGAACGATTGAAATATTGAATGCTCAAACTATTTGATTGCCTTACATTTGACTTGGGATTGTATCCAGTATGGTATAAGAGTTGAGAGAGCTCCCCCCCCCCTCCCCAACTCCGAAAGAAGTTATCCTTTTACTTATGAGATTTTCTCAATAAGACGTGGCTAAATTTCCTAAAATTCTTAAATAATTTTATTCGGCCTTCTTACAGTAATTTATAATCAGTCCGCCTAATGAGATTACCAACATATTTGAAACATGACTCTTTTCTCTCATTAAAGACTGATTATGGCAAACTTGAAAGGGTCACAGCAATTTAAAAAGGAATAGAGCCCGCATAAAGGTGTTATCTTCACAAATAACGATGTAGCTTTTTTTCTGTTGATTATTGTGTGTCTTTAGTTTTATTAATTTATCAGTATAAATGGAATTAGAATTTCGACTTATACTTCATCGCTGTGGTGGACGTAGGATTTTGGACTGATGGCGAGGAACTGAGTCCCTCTTGTCAAAAGTACATGATTGGAAAATCTTGTAAGAGGACCGAGTACTTAAAGATCTTTAAAAAGAGGACTGATCTGCATAAGAGATTTCGTCAGGGCGGATCAACCTCAATTGACTCCTCACTGCTTCATATTTGAAAAATAATCCGAATATATGAAAAGTAATAGAAAAAGATGACTTAGATGATGATACGCATTATTCAATCAATTCAGATATAAATGATATTGAAGGAGATAGTGTGCGTCATGAATCGGATTTATCATTTGCAAGTGTTAGAGATGAAGATGATACAACGAATATGAGGCAACATAAATTGTGGGTCAGGCGGTGTTAAAATTTGATCTACCATTTTATCATGGTGAATTAAATTATCAAATAATTTAGAATTTGAAATGTATCAAAAATTCTTTTTTGTCTGTTATATTATACTTCAGAACCAATTTTTTTAAATAGTTGATCGTGTACTTGTTATTAATACTCCATTTTTATGATGATTCAATCGAGACACGTAAAGTTGTGAAGGTTGAATTAATACTAAAATAGTTTGATCAACGATGCGAACTTATTGTTGAACTAAAAAAATTCTTTTATTTATTGGCAGAGGACAGCCTACTGGATATATAAATTAATTTAATATAGATAAGAATATTTCTTATTGAAAATATGTATCCTGAGTCTTTTTGTGAAAAAACTTTTGAAAACATTAGTCTCTATTCATTTATTATATCTAGAGCAAAATAAATAAAGTCATTCACTTGAAAACATTTTTCTCACTTATATTCAGAAGAGCGAGAAACTTGGACTACTAAGATCGAATGTCCCTTCCAAAGGACACTTCTAAATCTCCCTAAGAAAAGAAATTTTTGGTTTTTTACTATAAATAATTTTTATTGAAGTTCCAAAACTTCTATTTTCATGGTCAGCTGTTTGATTTGTGACAATAAGGCCTTTGGGCTTTTAAGGATTAAAACATGGATGCCCAATGTTGCTGTAAATACTGACGGTAAGTCACCGGTACAGGATCTACTGAGGCACCGGTTACATTGTGATGCCAACTCTATTAAAATATGCATGCTTTCATAGGCCTACGAAAAATTATATTTATCTAGTTTTACTTTTATACTTACGTACCTTTTAAATCTGTAAGGATATTTTAGTCTTTGTAGCCCCTTCAGGATGTGAGTGGCAGTAAATCCTAAGGTAAAACTATGTTCCGACATAGTCCGAGAACCATACACCCTCATATCTGCGAAAATCTCGAATTGTTATCGAAAAACTGTCTGCCAAATTATTAGCTTCATGCAATTCAAAAAACTATCGAGAGCCATGAATAGATGTCTTCATAAAATTTCATATTCAACGTTAATTTTGAAACCATTAAGTCTATTGATTATCTATATATATTTCGATCTTAACGATTTAAATAACATATCGTCAAAATGTATCATTAGAATAAAATTTAGCATCAATCGTGACTTCTGCCGATTTCAAAATTGACTCTACTAAAGTCATTTGTTTACCAAAATTTATTCTTTCCAAGTATTATACATCGATTTATACTAAACTTTTGTGTTGTACTACATTTCACATCTTGTAAATGATACTTCATTAAGAAATTATGTCTTAAATAAACTTAAAAAACTATATTTTAGATATTCTTCCCAAATATATATTGCTACATATTTATTATTTAAATAACAAAAAAAAAAACAAACAACGAATAAATAAATAAATAATAAAAGAAATTTCACAACATATGATATTTTGAGTATTCAAGAAGCATTCCCATACTAAGCAAAAGCTAAATCACAGATTAAGAAAATATAAATTCATTCTACAGATCAGATTTTTGTTCATTCATTAATTTATCATTTTCAATACCCCAAAAATCAGTTGATTTTTCAAGTCTATCTCGTTGTCGTTTTGCAAATGCTGAAAATGTTGATGGACAATTAACAATTGCATTTTTTGCAATACTTAATATATATAAATCAATATGTGCTGCTTCACCTTCACTTTGACTTGATGATCGTTCATATTTAATTATTTTAATATTATATTTTTTCATAAAACGTTCTTGATATTTATCCAACATATGATTTCCATCAGCAGCAATATATAAAACAGTTGATTTTGTTTTTTGAATCATGTTTTCAGTTTGATTTAATATATTATCTTCAGATGGATAACATATATCATTTGTTAATTTAATACCTTTTTCAAGATTATAACCAAGACATTGTGCAGATGCAAAAAAATTTGATTTTTCATTCGCATATGTACATGCTCGTTCCTATAAAGAAATTATGTTTATATTATAATAGTCACATTGTGTGAAAAAAAAAGGAGGAATTATGAGCAATGTCAAGAAGATTATTCTCGAGATATCATTTTTGTCTGGTGTTTAGTAAATTTCGATTAGAAAAGTATGATATTCTGAATTAACATCCAAAAAAATGAGTGGGTTTATGTGAGTTTTTTTTTCTTCATCAAAATGCTGTTTTTATCGTTTAGCCATCTTTCGTTTCAAGTTCTACTATCATTTCATGGCCTTAGAACGTGGTTCATAGTATAGAAAAACTTTTTTTATAAGATTCGTTTTCTAATTCAATCATGACATGTGCCAGGATTAAATTTCTCAACAAAAAAACAACATCACGAAGACATTTGAAGGTCACGGAAGTCTACACAGTTTTCGATGCTGATTGAGAATATAATATTTTTTTCTAATAGAAATTTATTAAATGCTATTCAAAAAGTCATGCTTTAAAAATAGTCTTCCTGAGAGTTCTCGCAGGTCTTTTTTATATCATTTCGAACCTATTGAAAAGTGTTATTAATTCATACGAATACTAGTCTAGTCAGTCTTCAGATCAGTGGATAAAAATAGTTGGCCAATATTAATAGTCGAGGCACAGCATAAACAAGTGTTATAAATCTAATTCCAGTGCGGATCAATTTAGGACACAATCTATTATTGACGGTACTGCAAAAAATTTTTAATTAATAAAATCTATTCTAAAACTGTTTTCTTCTCGATTAAGTTAAGCGTTATCGTCAGTAAATTGTCGGTAGTGCAACATAGAAATACCGTCGCTTCGATTCACCAGAAAACCATTAAGGTATAATATTTTGTACAAGTTTTTCTTCAGCTTTCATAAAACTAATCAAACTCGATATATTTGAGGGATTTTAATAAATACGAGAATTTATTCTATTATGTTAATCTGATATTAGAGTAAGACTGTATCTTCTCTTCAGAATGTTATCTAGAGAAAATCGTTGCATTTATATAGAGATTTGGTGGTGTGAACACCTCCCTCAATAATAGAAGTCCCGACGGCTTCTATTGTGACGCGGGAGTTTATAGTCTGAAGTAAATCACGTATAATAACTTACAAAATCTATTCCATTTCTTAAGTGTATAGCTAATAATGTATCTGGTGATATTTGATGTTTATTTAAAAAATTTTCTGCTTGTTTTTGAATATAATTTGAATAAACAAAATATTTTCCTATATGAATATTATGTTGATCGGCTAAAGAATTTAAAAATACAAAATTCCAAATTAAATTTTATGAAAAAGAAAACTTTCCTGGAAAACTTCCCGGTGGTCCACTAAATGCAAATACAGGATATTCTGTTGATGGATATCTAAAAATCGAACAGCAGTATATAAAATTTAAGAAAAAATTAATTTTCTAATAAATACTTAGTATTCCAATTATTTGCAGTAATAATATCATAAAAAAGTGGTTGAAAAAATACATCATCATCAAAATCAATATTAAAATGTGACCAAAATGGTCCAAATGGATTACCATCTTTAGCACGACAACCTTTTTTATCATTCTTCTCATTTACTTGAGCATCATAACAAAATACTTTGAAAACAAAATAAACATTCAAAATTTTAAATATAATCTTTTTCTCTAATATACCATATCGTTTTCCTTTTGGCCATACTTTATCAGCTAAATGAATCATAAAATCATTCATTAAAATAACTTTTAAATAATCTCGTAATGGTTCAACTTGAAAATATCTATCAAATGGAATTTGTTTCTATACGAAAAAAAGAAAATCAATCGAAATTTAGTAATATAAATAGAATATTTAATTACTGAAGTAAGACTTCGGGATGGATATTCAACCCAATGAGGAAGTATAAGAGTTCGATTGAGTGCCCGAGCAAATGAAATAGCGCCGAGAAATTGTTCTGCTTGATTGCCAAATCGACCTTAACAAAAAAAAAGAAAGAATATATTCAATAATTGAATCCGTCAAATAGAACATTTTAAATACAGCGCGCCTCAATTGATTTTCCCCTCTTGATATTTTTTTGTTTTTATTGCTATACCTCTTTTGGTATATTTACATTAAACATCAAATACAATTTAAAGTGTAAGAGATGTATTAGAAAAAAAAAGTGACTTTTTTTCACTACAATACCTGGTGTCCAAAATGTTGTAACAGTTTTTATTTCGCGTATCTCTCGGCTTTGATAAATGATAATATTTTGAATTTTTTTCCAGAAGATGCGCCGTGAAAAGCTCTACAATAGCTGCACGATCAAATTCCTTTTTGCCTGTTCTGATGGTTTTTCTTATACTCAAAATGAACAACTTACACGGCAATGTCGCTTCCCATCATATAGAAAATATTTTGAGGACTTTTCTGATTCGTTATAGGATTTGGTCTATACAGTTTTGTAGAGCTTTCAACGGTACATCTTTCAAAAACAAATTCAATATTCCACCATTTTCTTAAGTCAAGATACATGCAAAATAAAAAGTTTTCCAAGAATTTTCAATATGATGGACAGTGACACTGTCATGTAGGCTTTTCATTTTGAGTATAAGAAAAACCATCAGAACAGGCAAAAAGGAATTTGATTATACAGCTTCTGTAGAGCTTTTCACGGCGCACCTTCTGGAAAAAAATTCAACATATTATGATTCACCAAAGCCGAGATATACGCTAAATAAAAAATGCTGCAACATTGTGAACACTCTGTAGTAAAAAAAACATGTCACTTTTTTTTCCTAATACATTTTTTAGACTTTAAGTTGCATTTGATGTTAAATGTAAATATACTAAAAGATGCAGCGCGTTCCGGGCTTTCTTCCTATATATGGATAGGTTAATAAATAAAAGAAGTATAGCAATAAAAACAAAAAAAAATTCAAGAGAGGAAAATCAATTGAGGCGCACTGTAATTAATTTAATAGATTATCAACAATGCTAATTCCAAATTTCCTTAGGTCGTCTTCATATACTTTTCAAATTTAATGCATTTCTACCGATCGTCAGTAGACTACTATTATTTTTACAAATACTTATTAAATACAATAGTCAATATTTTAAAGTTCCATTATAAATGAGCTGATAATGATCTCAACAGGGGAAAACCCACTTTGTCTATTTATATTTTCATTACACACTAAACAACAATTGATACTCACGCGAGATGTCTCCCAACTGATTAATTGGTTTTGGATCAGGAAAATTTGCATCATATAGATCCTAATGAATGATGAATATCTTGAACAGTTTATTGATGATGAGATATTTTTTATGGTATTGTCATGGTCTTAGGGAAACTGATTTTCGAATTTCCACTTGCAACTTTGTTCAGAGCGAAATCTTAACGAGAATAGTTTATTGCGAAAATTTCAAATCTTTCCATTTTTGCTATCCTAACATATGGCCATGGTAAAATTTTGTCTTCTACATCGGTCATATACACCGGCGAATTCAATGTTCTTATTTCAGGAGACGATATTTGAAAAATCACTTTTCCTAAGACCACGAAATTGAATTAAAAATTAGAGCAACTCCACAGCAGTAAGATAACGGGATCCTCTCTTACTCTTTTCTGATATTAAATTCAAAATTTTCTCGATTTTCGGGTATAGTTTCGAAATATTTTCAGTCAAATGTCATATAAATAAGACCTCTTTGTTTGCCTATAACAACTTTTGCACTACTAATAGAGATTTATCCACCTTGAAAATTTTATAATTTTTCGTCAAGTTATTCCCGAGAAACTTCGAAATGTCCCAAATTCATAGCTCACATAATGTTGACTTGTAAGAGAATTAATCAGTCAAGATTTCTTAACCTTACCCATGCATGGACAAAACATAACATAACCATTTGGATCAACTTCATACTGTGCAAAGCAATAAATAATCAAATAAAATAATAATAATAATAATTTCGAAATCATATTTAAATATATATATATTCTAAAATCTGAAACTGATCATTACATATAAACCAATCGAATTTTTTTTATTCTCCTTTCATTATCATAGCCTATAATCTAAAGCAAAAAAAACAAACAAAAATTATGAATTCATCTATATATATATATAAAACTTCTTACCCCAATCTTGACTCAATAAATAATAAATCCAATTATCTTCTATAAACTTCTAAGATATAAATCTTTTTCGACAGTAATCATATATACGCTGATTTTTTTATTAACAGTAATAATAAAGTAATACGAGAAACAAAACAAATGTGGTCCATCATTTAGTTGTTATAGTGATGATGATATCAATGAAAAATGAGTAGCTATATATATATATATGTATATTGTCTCGTAATACGTTGGTAAATAGAAAAAGACAAAGACAAAAAAGAGATAGACAGAGAAAGATAGATAGCGAAGAGTCCATCGTTGGTAGAGACACGCACGCACACACAATAGATACACTAAGTTGACAATAATTGCTTTTTTTTTTTGTTTCTTGTTGTTTAATAATAATAGTGTAAATAATTAAATAGCATTCATTTCAATTGAATCATTTTCAATTTTTGTCTGAGCCATATATTTATCAATATCAGTATCAAGACTTTCTTTTGTAAAATTTTTGTTATTGTTATTATTATTATTATTTCGACCACGTCCACGATTAGAATTTTTTCCAAAACGACCACGATTTGATCTAATGAGCAAAAAATATAATTTTTTTTTGTCAACATAAATTTTTGTTTTTTATTTACCGATTAAAATTATTATTATTATTTGTATTACGTCGTCCTCGATTATTTCTATTTCCACGCATTGAATAACCACTATATCGACTAATTGTATTATTATTTAAATAACCACGTGTTCGAGGACGAAATGCTCGTGCTAATAATATACCAATAAAATTATTTATTATAATAAAATTAAAAATCTTTCATCTAGCTACATACCTCCACGAATTCGACCTTGTCCTCGAAGACGTATACCCATACCACTTTGTCCACCAAATAGAAATCGATTAGCACCTGAATTATTACCACCAGTATCCATACGTCGACGATTAGTATAACTAAGACGTTGAAAAACACGTGGTTTATTTGGAGTTCTATACAAACGATTTCCATTGGCATTAGCCCCAAGACCAAGTCGATAGTTAATACTTCGCTAAAAGAAACAAAAAAACATGATTATATAAGAATATATTCATCCGGAGGGTTTAACATAAATCAACACAGTAAGAAGAAAAAAAACATAGCGAAGTATATTTTTGGATTTTAAAGTAATTCTCTATTGACAAATGAATCATAAATTTTATAAAATTGCACACATCACGAAATCATATAGAGTTCGAAATAATACACGGACACCTGCGAAGACTCTATAGGAACCCGTGAAAACTCTACGGATGTCAACAGGCAGACGAGAATGAAGGTGTTGCATTGATTTTACATATAAAATAAGTTTTACAATTAAATATCAAAGTAATAAAGGATAATAGCTTAATGTTTTATTGTAAATGTCTTGTGTATAAGATAAAATCAAAGGAATAATGAGTGTCCGTGTTCACAAAAAAATTATATCTTTCAGTTGAAACAAAAAGGCACAGCCCAAAATGAAGAGTTCGTATAACATTTGTTTTTATCTCCATATGACTTTGCAGCTTTCACAGATATCCGATTTTTCTTAAAAGTAAACGTTTCCGGTCTGAAGACATTTTTTGTGATCTTCCGTAAACATCTTGGAATCAAAATCTAATGCGTATAGTGAATAAGAAAAACTACGATCATTGCTCGAAGTAAACCATTTCTTATTGTAGTGCGAAGCATAGCACTTACATTATTTTTATTTCGTAAATTCCAGACAAGACTGTATGCACATTGAAGTTAATTATTATTTGCTAACGGTTAATACCATTCTCAAAAGCACTATCGACTGATAATATTAAACTTAATGCTAAGTACTTTTTTTTTTTTGTCTCGGACATTTTATGTTTGAATAGTTAATAAGCACCGATTCTAAATCGACAAATTTCCTGATTTAAAAAAAAATTGTAATGAAACAATCAACTTGAACATTTGTTTTTTGAGTAATACATTTCATATGTGTAAAATTTAACTTGCATGGTTTTTTTTTTTTTTTCTTTGAATCTGAATATTAATAAACTACCTTTTTAAGTCGTTGTGCAATATTTAAAACATTTGGTCGTTTATTTCCGAATAATTCTTGTTTTGAATATGGAATAATAACATTAGCTTGTTGTTGTATACGTGGTGGAGTTACTGGTGCTTGTTTGGCAATTTCAGTAAATCTATTCGAAATATTTCATTGCAATAAATAATAAATTCTAATAATAAATTATTTACCTTTTATCAAGTGATAATTTAGTAGCTGATTTTAATATAATTTTTCCCGTAATCATTTCGTTTTTTTTTTGTTTGTCTTCTATACTGAATGAATGAATATGGATAATGACTGTGAATGTAGGCAATTTCTTTTATTCCAATGACACAAGATTGGGAAAGTAAACAATAAGAAATATTTGTTTTTTTGATTGGCTAAAATTAAAATACGAAAAAATTCAAAAGAAAAAAAGAAAATTTTATTATTTTTTTTGTTTCTTTATTTTTTAATTTGTATAAAAATATTTTTATCTAATAGAGGTATTAAAAGAAAATTTTTCATTGATTAAATTTATTAACCAATCAAAAATAGATGATTTTGTCATTTTGAAATTATAACGTAAAAGACAACAATTTGTTTAGTATTCAGTTTTGTTCAGATAGATTTTTTGTTTCATTATTCAACATGGATTTTCAACATCGGGCTGGTGGTAAAACTGGTAGTGGCGGTGTTGCCAGTGCATCGGAGTCGAATCGCGATCGACGCGAACGACTTCGTCAATTGGCTCTTGAAACAATTAATCTTGCAAAAGATCCTTATTTTATGAAAAATCATTTGGGAACATATGAATGTAAACTTTGTTTAACTTTACATAATAATGAAGGTTCTTATTTGGCTCATACACAAGGAAAAAAACATCAGTCGAATTTGTAAGTCTTTTTCTTAATGAATAATATTAGTTAAAATCTTTTAAAAAGTATTTATCGAATTATGTTAATATTCGAAACCTTTTTGGTTGAATGCACGTGCTATTCAAATAGTGATTTAAACAGAGAAATATCAGTATTAGTTTCACGGTAATATTTGACTTTAGAATGAGATCTATATTAATTGACAGCTATTGTGTTCACAAGGAAGTCTTGATAAGACTAGATAAATTGTAAAAGGGTTTGTACTCATGGGTCTCTGATTTCGAGTTATGATCATTTCGTCATGCACCGAAAAATCAGATAGCGGTAGTTAAATATGGATTTGTGTCCATGAATAGCTAATAGAATATCCTGAAAAAAAATCTTCCTTTGTCCAATATATCGACAAAGAAATATTCTTTTCAGCTGAATATATTAGGTTCTTCTAGCAGTCATTTGACCTATTTATAGTTGAAATACGATTATTCGATTTTCCGGTAAATAGCTAAAGCTGGATCGAAAGTTCAGTCACACAGTCATAATTCGGCTCCAGAGAGTCCCATAGGGACGAATCGTATTCGGATTTTTCTTGTCTTACTGAGCTTTTCTGGTGATATATCAATAGATGGCGCTACTTCCGCCGTATCTGCCTGTGATGATGGTGAAATACTGTGCTAACTGCTCGGCAGTTCGCAGTAAAACTTAATAATGCATACACTATTACATACAAAAAAAAATTTCCTCGACTAGCCTACATATTTTAAGTGCGTGGGTCAAAATCGTATAATCGCCTCTAAATCAATCATAAGAAAAGCTCAAGACCCAGGCAGACAAACTTTTCAGAAAACGCGTTTAAACGCACAGAAATTGGCC